ATTGCATCACTTGGCTTGTTTTGTATTTTCAGAAACGAGAACAAATTAAACCGAGCTTGGGTGAACTACTAACACCTAAACACGTGCATGTAACCGTGTATCATATCTTAAAGAAAAATTTATATGAAACCATGTCACTGAAAATTATTATAATATGATTATAAAATTTCTACTCTTCATGACTGGAAATATATTTGAACTTCATGTAACCCACACGAATGTTCACATTTTTGGTGGTTCAGAGTCAATACTCTCACATTTTATAGCAAGAAGTTGTTAGTAATATGAACCTAGCTCTGCTGCCAACCTTGGGTCATTAAGAAGGTGAGAATGAACTCACCAGGTTATCACTATTTAATAACATGATGTAGAAAACATCTGACGCTCATCAAAATAAGAATAATATTAACACTTCGGGTGGCTAACCCTCTGAAGTAAATTAATTAAAAAAAAATTTATAGATTGGCTTTGGGTTCCACATATTTATAAGAAATTGCAGCAATACAACTCTCATTTGAATGCCAAAGAACCCTGCATCTCGGCCAAGCTTGAAACAAAGTTGCAGAATCGCTAGAAGTAAAAATAACAAAACTGGGTTTGTACCCCAAAATCTCAATGCTTGCTGTGGATAATGGTACAATACTTTTACAACCTAACATCAAGAAACAGCCCTCGTATTTGAGAAAACTAACAGAGAACACAGCTATGCAACTCGATTAAACCAAGATCATCAATTCAACATGTACTGAATTATGAATGCCACGATTGAACCTTAGATGTCACCTTCAGCTCTCTTTCTCATAGATGACGAGCTCTAGCCAAGTTCTTGTTAGTATCAAATTGCCAAAACATTGTCTCTCCTTGCATTTGAGGAAAAGATTATTTCTACAGTTCCATAAAACTTAATCAAGTTTGTCAGATGGCAGGAAGCAAGCAAGAAAACACACAATCCTGAATGTACTAATGAATTTTATTCCTTCTCTTGGCAATCAGCTTATAAAGGGTAGTCTCAGTCCATCAAACAATGTAGCACTTTCTGCAATTACATAGATAGCCCGTCAATCACAGTATATAACCACAAGGCATAAGAATAAAAACAAAGAAAACTGAATATCTTCACTTAGTTTGAAGAATGAGCAAGTATTCAACTCAACATGAGGGCCTCTGAAAAAATGCAGAATTTTAAATTCTAATCATAATATTTAAAAAAACCCAAATTAATGTAGCATTTTTTTTATCAATAAGTTAATCTAGCGTCTTAGAATTATCTTCAAGTAGCATCTTGCTGGGGTAAATAGACTCAGAATGATTATCAGACTGCATCTAATCCCCTAACAAGTTAATTAATCTTTCATTGACATGAAAAAATAAGTTCTTGAAATTGTGATTATGCTAAGGAATTTAGCAAATGAAATTAAGTGTCACCATTTAGGTATTCTTATGGCTCAAGAAAATGCATGATCACCTCTGCCCCCTTTTCTTTTCAATTCATAATAAAGATAACACCAGCCAGGTGAAGGTAGTATAAATTGGAGGACAGGGAGGCAATAAAATGCTAGGTCACAGGAAATTATCTGTTGGCTTAAATAAACTATTAATTACTTAGCCTTCTAGGTATCCAGCGATTTTTGGAATAACTAATGTTACCTAAATATAGCCATTATTCAGGGCACTCCCAGATGTTCCATCAATTACTGAAAGGCAGATGTTAAAAGTTTAGACATGTAGGATCTCCTTATAGTTGAAGGTGACAATTCATACTCTTTTTTCAATCCAACTGGGTAAGATAAAGCCCACTATGGTCTGCTGGCCTACAGGCAGGATATACTGATAGTTACTGCATAAAAGAGATTATAAGCAATGAGGAACATCTCAGTAGAGAGTGAAACCTTAAATATGGTTACAGCAACCAAGGAGTCTGATTCCAGTTATAGTCTCCTATAGCCTTCTTCTCGAGTCATTCTTAAAATCTGGTAACTCTAACAGAACTTAAATTCTCCTAAATTACTCATAAAGCTGGTGGACCAATTACATATCTGATCCTTTCATATCCCACCAGCTCTGACTGGTTTCCAATCTCCTTGGAGCTGCTATTGCTGTTTACCTTAATCTAGACAAGCTACCATAAAGTTTAGATATTAGGCTTGGCGAAAATGTCTAGTGAGTGCAAACATAAAGTCTCTTTCGGACCAACTAATGATTGTTCTTAAGATTAAAAATAGTTTCACAACATCCATAAAGACTATTGTAGCAGCTGAATTATACAACAGAAATTGGAGGTAAGAGCTCAAGTGGTGCAAGCAGAGGATGGCTCATTTACGCAATGTATCATTTCCTAGTAGCAACAATTCATAAAATGCCAACCAATTGGAAGAGGAAGAAGGCAAACTGAAGGCTACAGAGCAATTGCATGGAGATATAACTATATACATAAAATATTTATAATATTTATTCATAAAAGAAGTCAGGGAAGGTGGGAGAAAAAGGGATCAATAATACCAAAGTAATTTGTCATTGTAACTAGGTGTGTGAATGAGTCAAACTACTCATGAGCTACTTGGGTTTGACTCAATGAATACTCGAATTCGACCCATTTACTGTCGAGCCAAGCTCCAGCTTGAGACTAGCACCGTATCAACTCAGCCTTGGCTCCAATTCACACCTAATTGTAAGTTAATATTCAGACCAATGATTATATAAACACATTTCAATCAAGAGCTAAATCAAGACAAGATGTGTACCTATGAGTAAATTGAAATCTCTATTAAGTGTTATGATCTTGATGAACAAGAAATGCTGATTGGCTAAATGTTTCTTGCAACTTCTGCTGGTGTATAGCTGCACAAAGGTTTATGATGCATATGTGTCCAAAGGAATCCCATAGCCACGTTTGCACATCAATCCCAGTACTTGCTCAACCTTGTGTCTTTTACCACACATTGAGTATGCCTTGTACAATATACAAAATGTCTTCTTCGTGTAATCCATGTTGAAATTATCCATCTCATTAAGGACATTCTCCATTTCTTCCAAGCGCTTCTGTGATCCATACATGACCATTTTGCAGTGATACAAAGACCTGCAGATTCTCCATCCAGCACATTCTGCACGCTTTACAAAATTTGCCAGTTTGTCCACAGCATTGTATCGGAAATAAGCTGCAATAATGCAACGCATCAAGCGAAGTGTAAGGACAGAGGTCTTGTGCTCAAAGGCCTCATTAATCGAGTTTTCCATACTCTCTAAACAATTCTCCTCAGCATAAAGTCTAATCATCAACAAATTCAACCACGGCCTGTATTCATTTTCTGGAATTATCCTTAATAGTTCCTTAATCCTTTTAGTCCTACCCTTGATAGAACTCTTACAATATGCACATATCATGGCTCTAATCAATGGGATTTCCTTGTCATCAACATGATGCTTTATCATTTGGTATGTTGCTTCCATCTGCTCCAATTTCCCCGAGTGTGCATATCCTCGAAGCATCAGCAAGTGAGTTTTAATATCTGGCTTAACCGGTCCAGCCTTCATCATATGAAAAGTTCTTTCCAAGCTATCCCACATCCAAGCAGTCAAATATGCAGCAATTAAATTGTTATAGGTATTTAAATTAGGGGAAAGATTTAAATTTTTTATCTCCTGGAAAGTTGCCTCCATGTGATCTATCAGCATCAAACGACCAAAGACTGATATAAGAATGTTGTATGTTACAATTGAAGGACTACAATCTGGTTCCCTTTTAAAATCCCGAAACACTAATTGACATTTCTCAGCAAGACCATTGTACATATAGGCACTCATTAATGCATTGTAAGTAGACGTAGACTTGAGTTGCTTATTAGCGGCCTCAGCAAAGAGCTCAACTGCAAGATCTACATTCCTAATCCTACCAGCAATGGCGATACCACTAGCATACTCTTCCTCCCTCATGGGATAGCCTTGCTCTGCCTTTTTTCTCCTCCAATTAAACACCTGAAGAAACAGTATAATATGAAAACAAAATCCAGTACATACCAATGTCTACGATGCAGCTCTGAAACACTCCTAACAAAGCATTTAAACAAGACCACACGAATAAAAAAACCCAGAAAACATAAACCTAAATAAATTCCATCGTAAATTCAAACAAATAAATTTTCTTGTAAAAAGGGGAAAATAGAAATACATACCTTCAAGGCCAAATTACCCGAAGAATACAACTTTTTCAATAGCTCTAGAAAAGCAGAGTCATGGAAATTTTTGGTACATAAAGCAGGGTAATGTTTACAACTCCCAAGTAACCAATCACCTTTCTCCTCCAACACCTTGTTCACTTCCTCTAAACAATCAACACTTTTTACCAATTCATCTCTGAACAGAATCACTTTCCGGAACAGATCCTCTCTAGCTTTGGGTTGGGCCTCCGCCTGAGAAACCTTTTCAATGAACAAGCTGATGATGTTGCTGGGAATCGCCGTTGGCAGCGGAGGTTGGTTGGTTCGGGCACCAAGGTCACCATAAAATCTGAAAAGAGAGGAATTCGGAAAAGTAAATAAAAGAGGGGATACAGTTTTGGGTTTTGACGGATGCCAATGGAGATTTAATAGCAGCTCTGATTGGACTGCTGCCTCCGAGATTTTGAACACACGCTTCATTGTGATTGTAATCCGGACCTTGTTTGTTCAGGGTTCAAGGAGGGTTTTACCGAATGGGGGAAGATTCTTTGATAGAAACCGATGGGGGCCGCCGCAAAGGCTGAGGATTTGATGGTGTTAGGAGCACCGAGTCAAACCGGAACTCCTAGAATCTCACTTACCGTCGCTAGTGATTGGAGAAACCGGGTTGGGTCGGATGGCGGTGCCCGTGAAACAAACCCTGCCGCACGTATAATGTTCAAGATTTTCTATTGGTCTTGTGGGTTAAACCTGCTTCACTGCAGTGACAACTGACAAAGCGGGGTGCAAGTAAGAACAAATTCGGGTTAAACCCCAGCCAATCTCTAACCTGTTCATTTCTGTTTTGTTAATACGGCCATGAGTAGTTAATCTTTATTCATGTGAGTGTGTTTCTAAATTATAATCTTATCTTAGCCTAAATCCATGCTGCATGAAATAATTATATCACATTAATTTGGAACCAATAAGTTTTTTTTTCATAAACTTTTTATTAATAATTTTAAAAGTCCATTGATGAATGTTTATATATACTTATTAAATATTTTTTATTTTAAGAAAATCTTAACATTTAATACATTATTTTCATCAAATTTAAAGAATATATAATATATTAATTATGAAATTTTTTTATAAACATAACCTTTAACAAATGTTTACCAACACCTTTTAATATTTGAAAATGAGTTTTGAGACACTTTCTAAAATTATTATGATAAATTTTTTAATATACTGATATGTATTAAATTAATTATTAATTATTATGATTAATATAAAAATATTATTATAAATATAATTAATTATTGATTAATTGGATCATTTGTAATTTTATGTGTACATGAGGTTGTCTAGAGTGAAAAAAAATTATATTATTATATTAACATGTTATATCATCTAATATTGTGATATTTTAATATGTAATTGTAAATATTATGTGATATAAAATGATAAATGATATTTTTATTAATAATAGTGGATGAATTGTTAATTATAAAATTTTATTTAATTTAAAATAAAAATAAAAATTAAATTAAATAAATAAAAATAAATATTTATTTGAATTTTTTAAACATAATTGATGATTTTTTAAGGTATTAGCTATCTCCATGTAAGGAGTGTGCTGATTTTTCAGTATGACACTTGTGAGTAAGAAGGAAAGTAGACACAGATGAAAGATGAGAAGGGACGACGTACCGCTTGAGGAAACACTGGAAGAACACGTGTCAAGATTTAAAGCGATTAGGTGTGCTTATTGCACCCACTCAAATCATGGACAAACCCGACTCATAACCCAGAAAATATTTTTTCCGAAAAATTGAAAACAGTAAAAAGAGACAGAAAATCCACAGTGTAACATTACCGGCAAGCTTCTAATCTGACTGAATCCCAGCAGCATCCAAAGACTCCAAAACTTCGCAACGTAACAAACAGGTGAGCTTCAGTTCATTCTTATCCACTTTCCAACTCTTAAGTTTTCTTTTGCTGTTAGTACTTTTTATAAATTATCTTTTACTATGCAGTTTTTCTTGTTAGTTGTTACTAATGTTCAAGTAAGTTGGGTTTTCTTTTTGTTTGACAATAGAAGCTTCTGATGCTGCTTTTTTTTTTTTGTATGGTATATATTTTGGACTCTGCATTTTTCGTGTGTTCAAGTTTTACTTTTTGACATGTTTTTGCAATGATTCAATTCGACTTGGCGGTAACTTTAACAGATTCTGAGTAACTAAAGACGAAAGTTTGCCTTTTGCCGTGTGCTGGGAACTGGGTTTGGTTTAATTTCACGTTTTGTCGCTCATTTTAAGGTGGTAGACTTTATAAAGATGGGGTTTTAGCTATGATTCTAACTAGAATCAAATGCTTTTCATTATTTTGGATTTTTTACATTTTTTTTGGGGTGTGAAAAGTGACTTAAATTGGACAAATTGTGCTGAAATTCATTGTCTTGACTATTGAACATGTGTTTGTTTGTCTATTACAAATCCCCTTTTTGTTCTTTTTTTCCCCCAAAACTCTTCATATACCCAATTTCTATCTGTTTTTCTTTTTTCAGGTTTGACATGTTAAGAACCCAAAAAAAAATCGTTTGGTATGAAGGTTTAACAGATATGTATATGCATTAGTCATACGAGAATATCGGCAGTGCTTTTATATTAAATATGTTTGTTACAGCCAGTGGGGTTGACATTGATGAAATGGGGTACGCCATGAGTAGGCTGGAGATAGAATCTGAGTTGTTTGATGGTAGTAAGGTTACCAATGAAGCTGGTTGCAGTACTAGGTCCAACAAACCGTTGCATAATGTAGACCACGAGATTGCCCAGCTTACAAACCTCAGATCAGGGCCTCATGAACGACTGCGACAACTCATGCCTGGAAAGCAGCAATTACCTGTTTCCCCAGTGAAGATGTTGGCAGGTCGAGAAGGTAATTATTCAGGAAGAGGAAGATTCTCTTTGGCAGATCGTTGTCATATGCTTAGTAGATATTTGCCAGTAAATGGACCTTGGCTTGTGGACCAGATGACCAGCCGGGCCTATGTTTCTCAATTTTCAGCTGATGGTTCTCTATTTGTTGCTGGCTTTCAGGTATTTGTTCATCATCTTATATTTGAGTGAGTGACTTGACATGGAATTGATTGGATTATTGGTAATAATACTTTTGATTTAATTTGATTGTGAATTGTTTGGTTTCAGGGAAGCAATATTAGAATATACAATGTGGATAGAGGCTGGAAAGTTCAGAAGAACATTCTTGCCAAAAGTTTGCGTTGGACAGTTACTGACACATCCCTTTCTCCAGATCAGCGCTATCTTGTGAGTTCATACTAGATATAGTTAATTGTATTTGCATGTAAGAGATAGCTTGATGATTTTGAATTGCGTCTCTTTTACTCATTCTTGTTATCAATTTGTGATGCTAAGGGAGTTTATTGCTGGAATGAACTCCCCCTATCTAGCTTTAACATTTAGTCAGTGTCTTCCTACTTGAATTTTTTGAAAACTACTATATTTGACATATCTTCTGTAAGGGACATTCTACTTCTATGAGACGGGGTTTGATGAAGCAAATTATGCAAAGCTTCACTGTGGCTAAGATAACACATTTCAAGTGCTAAATGGATTAAAATCATCCCATTTAGAGTCCTCCTATGCTTACATTTTTGAGGATTTTAATAGCACTTTAGATCTTACAAGGATTCATGGTAATAAGATATAGCAGATAGCTTTTGAGTTCCAAGGTTATTAGTGCTAGCATCATACTGCACATTATTGTCTCACTCTCAATGCGACATGACAGAACAATACCAGATAGAACTTTATTCTCTGGTGTCCTGTTCCTTGTTTTGTGTTCTAAAAAGTGAACTATAGTTGTACATGAACTGACGCAGAAGAATGAATCCAATGCCCGCACAGAGCTTTTTGTCCACAAATAGATTTGTCTGCACATCTGTTTTTGGACCTTTGCATGCCTTTTTCATCTGGTCATCTGTCTGCTTTAATGTCCTAGTTTTTTTTATAATGTTTTAATGCATTGATAGCTAGGTTGATGGTGTATGTTAACCCAGACTACTCTTTTTTCCTTGACTCACCTAAAGTGGACCTACAAGTATAAATAGTTGGGATGATTAAAAGCTAGATGAAAGATGGAAAATTTTGTAAATTGAAAAAGCGATCATCATTATTCAAGAAAATTATTTTCTGATGATATGTGGATAAAGAATTAAGGACATTAGCTTGGATTAGTTTCTTTCAAGATCCAATATAGAATGAATGCTTTGGTATATTTGGATTTTTATTTGTTTTATCACACTACTTTTACGTTCTTATTGTTGATTTTGTTACTTTCTAATATAATTTGGATTAGGGGAGTCCAAGGTTCATTTTGAATGGCCTTAAATATCATGTTTGTTGCAGGTATCTTAATCAAATTTATATTCTTTGTTGCAGGTTTATGCCAGCATGTCACCTATAGTCCACATTGTTGATGTTGGGTCTGCTACCACAGACTCCCTCGCAAAAGTCACGGTACAAATGCTTTTCTTTTAATCTTTAAATCTGGGATGGCCTTTAGTTTAACAGCTTCACATTAGAGACAGAAATACAAAACTCTTATGCTGGCAACTTAAAGCCCTTAAGTTGGGTTGGCAGTTTGGTTCTGTCAATGTTAGATCGTCTTCTGGTCATAAATACTAAAAGCTTTTAAACTTTGTTATTGACGGTGTTAAAAATCTGACATTCCAATAAATGATGTCACTGGCATGGAAGCTTTTTAGGAAATTGTAAATGTACCGATTAGAGATATTTGGTGTGTGGGCGTGGCCCCTATCCATAGTTAAAAATTGGGCCATGAAGACCTTGATAAACACTTCAGATACTTCTTGGTTAGGCAAGTAATTATTTTGGATGATAACATCCAACCTGAGTGTCAAATATATTTATATTGTTAAAAGGTGAGAATAAGAAGAGAAATTAGAATGATCAGTTCTTTCAGGGTAGCACATTGACTTCGTGGTTTGAGGTTGAACACCATGAAATATTTTGATCAAGGATGTCTTCATATATTTTCCAAACATTCTTTTTCCAACAATTTTTTGGTCACATTTTTGTAGTTCTATGCTTTTCAGGAGATCCACGAAGGATTGGACTTTTCTGCTGCTGATGATGGAGGGTATCCTTTTGGCATATTCTCCGTGAAATTTTCAACTGATGGACGAGAACTTGTTGCTGGAAGCAATGACAACTCAATATATGTTTATGATCTGGAAGCAAACAAGCTTTCCCTTCGAATTGTAGCACACACAGTGGGTTCACTGTCTATACATTCTTGATTTGATAAGCATGTTGTTTTATGATTATTTCGCTTGAATATTGTTGATTTACCTATAACAGTGTTATCATGATGGCTTTATGTCTGAAACTAGAGTGATATATATATATATATATATATATATATATATCAATTAGCCCATCAACCACTGTTAAGTGATTATTTCTTACTTCTTTTAAGGATTTTTTTAAATACACTTTTAAAGTTTTTTAGCTGATTTTTCTGCTATGCTTATAATTGAAGTCCTTGTCATCAATTAACTTGAATGTGTTTAGATACTACTAGTGATAAAATGTGTGGAAGTTGATGGCTTCCTTGAGAACAATATTTATATAGACAATTAATATTTTCATCTCATTTAGTAATATGTAATTATTCTTCTCTTGTATTGATTGCCTCTACTCCACTTGGGCTGTGCCTAAGTTATTCAGCTGCAATTTAGAGTCTTAATCTTTTTGCCTTAGATTACTGTCCTTCATGAGTAGTATATTTCAAAAGTTCTTTTC